TCTAACCCCTCCCCAACTTGTCTCCCATTTACCCCTGCCTCACTTATAGCTGCTTTAACATGCAAATGAGGAATTAATAACCCCCAAATTAAGTAATTTACAACAGAGAATGTGGATTGAGTGAGGAAATAATTCAATGAGGCTAATCCCAAGGGATTTTTTTTTTTAAGGAGAACACTCTGCTACTTAAAAAAATATTTACTATACTTTTACGTTCAAAATACATCCATAATAATTATTATTTTGCTTATTCCAATTGTTAATTTAGCCTGTTCCCCTTTTAGACTATAAACTCCAAGAAGGTAAGAAAGTTTGTCCAATGAAAAGGTCAATAAACATGACTCTCTACTGCCATCTGGTGACATAGTGTGACTATTTCAAGAAGAATCGCCAACACCTGTGACTTCAATGTCTTCCTCTTCTAGTGTGTAGTGGTTAAGGCAAGAGCTCTGGCTTCAGGCTTCCTGGTTCAGACAACAGGCCATTATTCTCTGGCTATGATATCTTGGGCAGTTTCTCTGTTTTAGGTTCTTCATCTGTAAACTGGGTTGCTAATAGCTTTTTTCTCAAAGAATTGCAATGAGGATTTACAGGTGTTAGTTCCTACTGTTATAATTATCAATATTGTTAGCCAGACTCTATATTTGGTGCAAAGAAATAACACTTGTTGTTTAAATATTTTATAATCTAAGTAGATAAGACAGTCAGGAAACTATTAATAACCACATAAGCTCTGCCTACTAAGAGAGTCCTTATGGTGTTAAATATGAATGTAGATGAAGTGAAATCTGAGGTAGTGTAAGGATTAAAAATTGGTATCTGGCTTTGAAATAAGAAGACTTCTCAGAAGGAGAATTGTTCTTAGAAATCTTTGTTTAGATTGAAAGTAGTACCTGTAAGGTACCAATAAAAACACAAGTGCACACTTTGTCATTACAAAGTCAGGATTACAATACCATTTATGTTGAATACTTAATAATGAAAGTAAGCCCAGATCATCATCCAAACAAAAACTAACATATGATACAAAAAATATTTGTTGTAAAGTGGTGTTTTAAATTTTTGTGTTTGTTGCTGTTGTTTTCCTAATACACCCTTAACTTAATACTTCCATATTATTGATAAAAATATGGTTAGACTAGATGGTTTCATAAATGGGAATTATTTATTTTCAGCTCAAAGGGAAACATGGAATTTTGGTAAACTTGCTCATTATAAAAATAAGTGATATGTTTATTTAAATAACTACTTTCTATACTAAGAAAATATTTATGTTCTCCTGTGTTTATTCAGTAGGTGGCTGTAAGTATCAACTATATGCTATAAATGGCCAATTTATAGCATAATGTAGAAAATAGAGAATTTAGATTAAA